TTGCGTTTTGTCCAGGGTCCAGGTCTGGTCACTGGGTGAGGACACAGTGACTGGGAATCACCGTTCCTAACAAGAGTGCCCTTGTTCATCACCAAGGAGAAGGCCCTGAAGCTTCTGACTCCTGCCCACTCTTCCCACCACCACTGCTGGAACACATGCAGGCAACCACCTGTGCTCCCCTCTCATTAGCATGAAACTGCTGTTTTGTGGGTGGCCTAGGGTACAGCCATACATGTGTCCTGAACACATCCCCATGTGGCTATAATCATGGATGCAAAGTGCATATACATGGGGGAATAAGCATGCAGAGAGGAACAGAAGGAGGCCACAGATGAGTAACAGCACACACTGCTGCCTCTCAGAGTATTTTTTTTAAATGCTAAAAATATTGGCTAAAAATAGCAAACTCCCAGGCAAGATACCTTCTGTAGGCAGATTCTCTGTGGGTCCCTGATAGGTGTGTGGGGGGGGGGGGGGGGAGTGAAACACCAAACAAAACACAAAGACCTATATAGGATCTTCAAGGCACTACTGCCCTTAGGGTCAGAGTTGTACCATCACCCCCACACCAGCTGAGCACCATTTCCCCACCATTGTATTACTTTAGCCACACTTTCAAAAAACAAATCAAGAGTTGAGATTCTGTGAGATGGAGTTGAGTAATTGGGTAAAAGAGGCCAGAAAACGTTCTTACATGGGGCCAAAAGGGATAGTGACTTACTGGACCTTATAAAATGTGAGCATTGCTTCTATCAACAATAGGCCAAACTAGGACTGGAGCAAAGAAGGACGCTCAGTCAGAAGCCTTGAAAATCTGTCTCCTTGACCTGGACTCATGGTCCCTCACAGACTGTGTGGATGCTGGGTCCCAGAGGGATCGAGTCCCGCTCCCCGCCCCCCGCCCCGCCCCTGATGCTGTACAAAACTTTTAAGTGTATTTTCCCCCCTAAGAGACTACAGAGCTTTTATCGGGTTCTCAAAATGTTCGGCAGCGCCCCCTCCCGCCCCAAATAACTTTAGGAGATGTGTGCTGCCTTAGAGGGGAAGCTCACCCCGCTGACACTCGGTCTTGGGGACGTGTCCTCTACGGGCCTCAAAGACAATTTTCCTGATTCCCAACCCCAAAGCCGGTCCAGGTCTTCGTGCTCCCGTCCTGCCCTCCCTCCAAGGGTTTCAGGTCTCTGCTATGGGATGGGGACCGCCCAGCCCAGGTCAGACCCGTGGGAGGCGCGGGACCAGATGTGTCGCGGTTTCGCAGAGCTAACGCTCGAGTCCGCGGGGCGGAGAAGGGGGCGGGCCTGGCTCCGCCCGGGCGCTGACGTCGTAGGGCCCGAAGCGCCTGCGGGGCCGCCAGTCGGCTGGGCCACGGGAGCTGGGTGCCAGGGCGGTTGGCCGCGCGTGCCCGGGAGGTTGAGGTGGAGGAGCGTGCGTTTGGCCCGCCGTATCGGTTATCCACGGGCGCGGCGAGCGGTGTCCTGTGAGCCCTGCCGGCCTCAGCGTCAGGACCGCAGGACCGCGCGGTACACCCGCCCCCGCCCCCGCGCTCCTTTTGCCTAAGTTAAGCGTGGGGCGGAGCCTACCACCCGCCCCCAGCATGCGCACCTCATACACCGTGACCTTGGCCGAAGATCCCCCAGCCGCCCCCTTTCCCACCCTCGCCAAGGAGCTGCGGCAACGCTCCCCTCTCTCCCCTTCCCTGCTGCTCTCCACCTTCGTGGGGCTCCTGCTCAACAAAGCCAAGGTACGCGGGGCCCCTTTCCGGGACCCCCACGCGGAGGGACTGGGGTTCCGCCTACTCTCCGGGATGCCCACCTCTCCCCGCGCCCCAAGCCCAACGCGCGCCCGGTGCCGGGGCACGGCTTATTCCCAGCCCCCACCCCTCCTTCCCCAGGGTCCTGGCAAGGAATGCCCCCACCCCAGGTGATTTCAGGCGTAGTCGCAGCCCCCTCCCCTCCTTGAGGTCTCGGCCCCCGAGTCCCCCGAGTCTTCCTCCCCCGTCCCCGCCCCTATAACACCCAGCACCAGGTCGTTCTTGGGCTCTTAATTCCTGGCACCTATTGAGACAGGTGCAAGAAAGGGTAACCTTGAGTAGTTTTCAGCGTGTGAGGGAACAGGCAGCACGCTGGACTCTGCGGGTGTGACTGCTCTAAGGCCAAAACCCCAGGCGAAAGTCTGATGGAACGGGGCAGCTTCCCTTATCTCCACTGATCCCAAGGGCGCCCTCCCAAAGGGTTAGTAACAGGGGTCCTTTGACTCTGTGAAGGGGAGAAGAGTTGCAGACCGGTGAAAAAAAGACGACTTCCTTTTTCTTTCCAGCAGTCCCCAAGTCTGCTAAGTGGGCGCCTCAAATGAAGTAGCCAATCTACAGTAATGCTTGGACTAAAGGGTGGGCTCTGCCCAGGTGGGGAAGGAAGACGGGGCTAGAGCTTGACAGATCTTACGTAACAGGCACCAGCTCCTGTGTTGGCAGTGCATGCACTGCCCCTGCCAAGGCCACCCCAGGCTCTTTGGCTGCAGCCAGGACTCGTGGCTGACACTCATGACACAGGTGATGTAAGCAGGAAAGCCCTTTACTGGGGTCTTGAGTGTGAAAACAGAAACCTCAAGCAGCCTTTCTTATATGGCCCAAAAACCCAGGTGTTTCCTCTGCATTAACTCATTAATCCCAAGCCCCCTGCTCCTTCACTGGAAGGTTAATCAGATCTGTTTACTGACTATGAAGGTGGCATCTGCTTTCTGGAACAGTGGCTGCTACTAAGTCAAAATTAGGTTTGCTGATGGCTAATATTAAAGAAGATCCTGATCCAAACTTTCTCATCTCTTTGCACATGAGTTCCAGCATGCCAGCTAGAGTCACTTCCTTCTCTCCTGGTGAGAGGCTGGCTATGCAGGGTCTCTCCCAACTTCTGTTCTAGTTTCTCCCTGTCAGCCCTGAGGTAGGAATTGTTTTCCCAGTAAGAAAGGTCACTCCTGGGACATTTTGTTCCTCTCTGGAATGGAAAGTGCTGACTTTCCCTGAAGCTTCTGATTGCCTATTCATGGCAGAAAAGTATCTGGCTGGGCATGCAATAGCCCTGCTGTCCCCTCCACTCCCACCCTTTGACTCCTGTTATCCAATCACCTTCTATTTGGGGTTTTGAGCTCAGGAAATTTTAGACAAAGGCATGATTCCCACACACACACCCCGCTCCAAAAAACCTAAGAGTCCTAGCAATGCCTTAAAGGAACTTCTCCCCACCCACCAGGCCGTTAAGTAGGGTTAGCTCCTCAAATAGTAACTATGGGCAATGACAAGTTCCTCCTGACCCTCACTCGGCAGTGTCAACACCATGGAATGCCCCGTCCTCACTGGTGCTGAGTGACTACTTTTTCAGCTGAGGGTCCACATTGGTGGACATTGACATGGTCGCCAGTGGTAGAATACTTTGCTTCTACATCCTGTTTAGATAAATGTTGTCTGAGGCAAAGGGGATAAGAATAAAGCACTGCCAAAAATGTGTAGAGTGGGTATAATGTTGTGGCCAGGCTTTAACGTTTAGCTCCGAATATGCAATACAGAGACTTCTGCAATGTTTTCATTGGGCACTAGGGGAGTCCTTCTCTAGGTCTTCCTGAAAATGCTGATAAGGTCTTTGTCCAGGGTATTCTTTCTGTTGTGACCTTCTTACTGGAACATCTGAGTTTAGACTGTCAGAAATGTAAAGTTCAAATTTTGTGTTTGGGGCCATATACTTCTAGTCTTGGCAGAGTTCTTCAAGGATGCTTATACCCCACGTGCTGCCAGCAGGCTTTCCTCTCTAGCTGCCAGTGGAAACCAGGCCTCTCTCCTGGATATATTTCCTTCCCTTCCTGTTAGTGTTAGACCTGATAACTTGTGAAGAGGTTTTCTCTTACTTGTGGGATCAGCATGTCAATTGCTGAGAAAAGTCCTCTTTCAGCCTACCTCTCTCCTCCCCACTTTCTGGAGTTGACAACCTCCTGGGCTTTGAGCTGTCAGTACAAGGCAAGAGTAATTGTAGCTGAGTTATTTCAGGCTCCTGTTCTGATTAGGGGTGAGCTGGTTGAGCATGCCCCAGCCAGTGTTGCTCCAGAGTTGCTTGCTCCCAGGCCCCCTCTCTGAGAGAGAGGGCGGGAGGTTCATCTGTAGACTGCTGCTTTAACACTTTGAGCCTGGAGTTTTCTGATTCTTTGGAGGTAGAGCCAGAATTAGCCGTTGACCTGGAAAAACCATGCTCAGAGTCCTCCACTAGCACCTGTTCTCTCTCCAGCCCCCTCACCAGCCTCCACAGTAGGGACAAGAGCAAGGGTGTCACCTTTAGCCAGCTGCTTACCTCTGCTGACCATAATCTGCCATCACAAGAATTCCCAGCCAGTGGCCAGTTGGGATGTTGAAACCTGAGCCGGGCAGGAAGGATTCTTCCAGGCTTTAATCAGCTCTCAGGACCTGAGTTTACTTGGAAAGAATTCCACCTGTCTGTGGCCATTCATAATAGCAGGCTGACTTGAGGTTCCCACCCCTGCCACCCCTGCTGAAGATCTAAACTCACTTAAGAGGTTTTGTCAATTAACTTTGCAAGACTTCTTTGAAGTGCCTATTATGACAGCTCCTTTACATACTGGATGCCTAGGGGTACAAATATTTTAGATAATGTCTGGATTTGGGACCTGAAATTTCCTGTAGCCAGGAATCAAATATGTTCCGAGGTATATGAACTCCTAGCCTCTGGTTCTAATCTCAAGTCTCCGGTATGGCAGAGAATGAAGAGTAGTGCAAAGATATTGAAATACATAGTCAATAAAAGAAAGCAAAGCCCTGAAGAGTACTTTTGCTATGTATTGAAAATGACAGGCGTTCCTCCATCCTCTTTCCTACAAAGTATGTAGACCAAAGGTGAAGAGAGCATAATACGTGTGGCCTCATGGCTCCAACTGGCAGAGTTACATGAGAAAGCCTAGCACAGGCCTAACCTCTTTGCCTGCCCCGTGTTATTTGCTTACAGAATTCTAAGAGTGCCCAGGGTCTGGCTGGTCTTCGAAACCTTGGGAACACGGTGAGTTCTTCCCAGCCTACTTCTTTGCCCGAGGGTATCCCCTGCTCTCCCAACTGGGACAGTCTAACCAGAGTCCTCTCCAGGCTCTAGCAGACTCCCTGCCCCAAGCAGGAGACACTGCTAAAAGGAAGTAGCCCTTATAAATGTTAGCTAATTACTTTCCTGGATCTTTCTCTTCAAGAATGTCTGTCACTTCCCACCCGCTTCTGCCAGTTCACCCACATCCTTTTATACACCGCTATAGTCAGTAACTAGTTATGTCACCTGTGCCAAGAGTGGGACTTTGCCTCACTTCTGTCCTTTTCACTTACAAGGAAAGGAACTTGATGCTGAGGGAGGATTCATTTCTGGGGTATATGAATCTGAGGGCCTTTGGTACTAAGTAAGCAGAGGTGCCAGGCAAGGTCTGTCTTTCCCTACCAATCATCTGGATCATGTCTTGCAGTGCTTCATGAACTCCATCCTGCAGTGCTTGAGCAACACCCGGGAGCTGAGAGATTATTGCCTCCAGAGGCTCTATATGCGGGATCTCAGCCACAGTAGCAATGCACACAGAGCCCTCATGGAAGGTAAGGAACCCATCCATGGATACAGTTCTGCATCCCCTCTGGATACTTTTTCCACTCTCCTGTTGCTTTACTAGTAGTTGTATTCTTTTTGTACCTCTCCTGTTCCTTCTTTGGCTTTTTGTTGGGATTCTAGTTTCAGAGTTGGTTATAGAAAATGTCTCACCTGTCCTCCACCCTCTACCCTTTCCTTGTAATAGAGTTTGCAAAACTAATCCAGACCATATGGACTTCATCTCTCAATGATGTGGTGAGCCCATCTGAGTTCAAAACCCAGATCCAGAGATATGCACCACGCTTCGTTGGCTATAAGTAAGGGCCTTGGAGACGTGCTTCCCAGGGTGGGTGGCAGCAACAGCAGCTTCTTGGGACAAGAGGGATGGCTCACTCTCTTTTCTTTGGGTTCAGTCAGCAGGATGCTCAAGAGTTTCTTCGCTTTCTCCTGGATGGGCTCCACAGTGCTGTAAACCGAGTAACAGTGAGGCCCAAGTCCAACCCCGAGAACCTCGATCATCTTCCGTAAGTAAGAGGAGAAACCTGTGGGAAGCAAAACTGTATGAACCTGAGGTTTTTTTTACTTACTTCTTCGTGGGTAGTTATTTGAAGGACATTTTGAATATTAAGGTTTTAGATTGATAGACCTTAGACTCATCATCATTTGTACCCTGACACAGTTGTCTTCCTTTCTCGGTCCCTAGTGATGATGACAAAGGGCGACAGATGTGGAGGAAATATCTAGAACGAGAAGACAGTCGAATTGGGGGTAAGTGCATGAAAGGAGAAAATGCCTGCTTTTTCTGTTAAGTGCTTTTGCCTGAGCAGAGCATGAAAAGCCCTAAGAATTGTTCTCCCAGACAATCCTTGTTCTGCCCAGTGTCCAAAAAACTGAGGCAGGAGCAGTGTAAAATGAGACATGTGCAGAAGACCATGTGCTCAGTTCCTCACATTTAAGCATCGTGTATCCTCCTCTTCCCCAGATCTCTTTGTTGGGCAGCTAAAGAGCTCCCTGACGTGTACTGAATGTGGTTACTGTTCTACAGTCTTCGATCCCTTCTGGGACCTCTCATTGCCCATTGCTAAGGTATGTACCCCTATTGCCCCACTTTTGAAACTCCCAGTCTTATCCTTGGATGATGTTGACCTCTGACCTTTACTTTTTTCTCTCCCAGCGAGGTTATCCAGAGGTGACTTTAATGGACTGCATGAGGCTCTTCACCAAAGAGGATGTGCTAGATGGTGATGAAAAGCCTGTAAGTCACCCTTCGTGATAGCAGTTTCCAAGATTGCTCTCTGGGAAGACACTGCCACCACAGATCGAGCCCAGGAGTTCCTGGATTCACACAGTCCTCTCCAGTTCTGTTTATCATGTCTTTCAGACATGCTGTCGCTGCCGAGCCAGAAAACGGTGTATAAAGAAGTTCTCCATCCAGAGGTTCCCAAAGATCTTAGTGCTTCGTATCCTTAAGCTCCATGAAGACAGGGACTTGACTTTAGAGAGAGCCTGATGACACAGGGCCAAAGTGAAGGCCAACAGAGTAGGAAAAGGGGGGACTTGGTAGCTTTTCTTTTCTTGTTTGCTCTTCTGTTAACCTGAAGGGTGCTCGCCCTCTGAGTACCCAGTCTCCTTTATTTTGACTCTGTTCTTGCCACTCTCTCTGTCCTTGACGTACATCAATACCAGACCTGAAGCGATTCTCAGAATCCAGGATACGAACCAGCAAGCTTACAACAGTTGTGAATTTTCCACTAAGAGACCTAGACTTGAGAGAATTCGCTTCAGAAAACACCAGTGAGTATATTTCAGCAGGAAGGGAAAAAACAAGGCAGCAGTATCTAAGACACAGATGGGAAGCCAAGAATTGGAGGGAAGCTGCTAAAGAGTGAGTTTTAAAAACTGAATAGAGGCCGGAGAGGGAGGAGTGATTCAGGGCCCTGAAACCCTGTTTTCCCCTCAGATCACGCTGTTTACAACCTGTATGCTGTGTCCAATCACTCCGGAACTACAATGGGCGGCCACTACACAGCCTACTGCCGGAGCCCAGTGACAGGCGAATGGCACACTTTCAATGACTCCAGGTGAGAAAGACGTCTCAGGCAGGCCTCCTGGCTGTCAGACACCTGCACCTCACCCCTCTGTAGTGCTTCCGCCTTGACTGGACAGAAAAGGTCAGAGCCGGAAAGCCATGTAACACTGAGTCTGCTGCCCATTTGAACAATCTCTAGAAAACAGCAAAAGAGGTTGGCCCTGAGTATATACTAAAAATGAGAGATGGACCCTCACACTCCCTCAGCCAGTCAGCTCTGTCCTGATGGCCCCCTCACCAGGGCTCTGACTTTCCCCCACTCTCTCCACAGTGTCACACCCATGTTCTCCAGCCAAGTGCGCACCAGTGATGCCTATTTGCTCTTCTACGAACTGGCCAATCCACCCTGCCGTATGTAGCATGAGGAGCTACATCCATTTCTCCCTTCCTCATGGTGGTGGCCCCACACCCTAAGTTTTTTTAAAACAAACAAAAAAAAAAAACCTGACAAATAAGAGAAAAATAAAATGAACTAAAGCTGCCGAGCAACAGTTGCTGCAGCCTGGTCAGGATGTGGAGCTGAGAGCCAGGTGCACCTGAGCCATGCCTAGCAGGGAGGATCAACAGGACATGGAGACCAGAGCCAGCACAGTACCTCCTTGGCTTCTAGTGTTTGCATTTTTACACTTTCGGTTTTTTCCTGCGTGTAATAAACCACAGAGGTATATGGGGAGAGCCTCCTGAGAAGATAGCGCCCTCTGGAGCCTGCTGGGAGGGTCACTGCCTGGAAGAGTCATGCCTGAGCCTGGAACCAGACTTCACCTGGACCCTGCTCTCTGGTCCAGAAGCAAGAAAAACACCCATGAGCCAAGAGCCCTCTTAACGCTGCTAACTCCAGGGGGACAGACCAGGGGACATCTTCCAAGAAAGCTGTTTTTGGTTTTTAAAAGGATTTTTTTAATTACCCTAACTAATGTTTTCAGACTGGAAATGCTCTCCATCACACCTCTTCACAGCTGGGATATTGTGCAAGTCAGTTTTGTTTGTTGCTTTTTTTCTTTTTTTAATTCTTCAAATACAACTTTTCTAATGCCAGCCCCCAGTGGTGCTAGGTAGGTGTTGTCCAGGCCCCAGGCACAGCCGCGGCAGACCTGGGATCCAGCAAGTTTTGTTTTTGTTTGTTTTTAGGGATTTTTTTAAAATGTTTTGGATGATATCTAGTTGCCTCTAAAAATTGTGCCTTATAGCATTTGGGGACCAGGGGGTAACTGTCCCTCCCTGAAATACCCTTCAGCCACTTCCCTTTTCCTCACGCCATGTTCAGACTAGCTGGGAGAGAGAGGGGTTATGTCCTTAGCCCCTGGCTTGTTTGCGTTGCAGAGAGATGAAAAAGAGAGTAGGTACAAGGATATTTCTTACGATAATAGTCTATCAAGTTCTTTCTGCCCACTTCCTCTAACCCACCCCTGGTCTCCTCTCCAGCTGTTTGAAGGACAGCACAAGCTCCTTACCCCTAGAGCTTCTCACCTTTAATTTATTCCCTCTTAACATGCTTTTTCTCCCTGATTTTCCTTCCCCACCCCTACCTTTTCAGAGCCTCCTGGACCAAGTTTCTCAGGGATGCCCATGACACCCCTCAGCTCCCCTTGACATCATCTTCAGTCCTACCCTGGGGGCTGGAGCTTGAGTATTTTGAGACATCTAGCCTCAGCCCTAGGATTCTTGCCCATGGGCGTGATTTTGCCCTAAGCGGTTGGGCAAACTTCTTTGCTATCCCAGGGAGTAAAGCTGTTCAGCACCAAGGCAAGGAGCTCTGTGCATGGAGTTGGCCTGGCTTGTACCCCTTGTAGTCTGGAGCTTTCCAGTGCTCCCAGGAGGAGGAATCAGAGAAAGACACCCCAAGTTTAACTGGCCTGACACCATTCTCCAGGGAAGACCTATGAACCTTGAGCCAAAGGGCTGGTGTACACTTGTTTACTGTGTAAGCAAGAGTAGAAGAACATCTAATGTACAGTGGAACCTTGTACAGAATTACAGAATAAATAATAGCTTTGAGAAATATGTTGGTACGTGATGGGATCTTGATTGAGGGGAAGGGGGTGGTGGTAATCCAGAAAGAGCTCCTAGCATATCAGTGGCCAAATATTTTACTGCTTCAATCAGATTGTACAATAAATTGCGAGTTCTGGGGGGGAAATTACCCACTTTTTATTTTAAACTTTCCCATTAAAAATGAAATAACACATTTTGAACACTTCATCTGGACTCACTGATAAACATTTACAAATATTTTAAATACCATACTTGTTTATATACTCTTTATTCTTCTGAGGATAATATTTAGGGGTGAGGTGTCATCACCCTCTCTATACCAGCATGCATCTCCAGGATACAAGGACACTCCCACATAACCTCAACACCCTCTTCACACCTAAGAAAATGAGCATATTTAATAGACATTTCTTTAAATGGGCTGCTTTTTAATTTCTGGGATGAGTACTCCGGTGGTTCTCTGTTGACATACCTGGGTGCCTGTACCTCTCACCAGTGATGAGTTAAAATGCTTCCAGCAGAGGCTGAGTAAAACAAAGTTTGCTCTTAAAGCAGAATGGCTCTACTGGAATGTGGAGTGATCAAAGCTTGCTCCTTGATGAACAAAAGATTGCAACTTGCCCCACTGACACCTAGAAACAACTGTGTTTATGTTTAAGGTTTTGTTCTCTTAAAGTGCCTTTTTCAATACATCAACAGGTTTAGCTACTTAGAGAGATTGCCTCTTTGGGGCATTCAGGGACTAGTTTCCTTTGGTTTTATCTTTTAATTCTTACACTGTTAAGATTTTCCATTTCTGCCACTGATCGTAGAACATGAGAAGCTGACGTCTCCACCGGTCGAGCCTACAGTGTTTTATCAGGATTTTTCCTACCTGCCTTTCCTTCTCGACACTGAAAAATCAAGGCCTGTCTGTTCCATCCTTGCTGAGAAGGCAGCACCTGCTGTCAGACTCACCTAATAGGGGGAGACAGTAGTGGGGGCATTTTATTCTGGATGTTTCCCAAGAGTGGAAAAGAGGGACTGCAAACAGCAGTGGCTCAAACCCTAGCATTTCTCCCTGGCCTGCCCTGGGAGTGACCTAGCCCAGAGTAAGATTTTAAATGCTGATTTTCCCCAAACCACAGGTGAATAGGATTGCCTACAAAAATGGAAGCAAAGTGGACAGGTGAACCCCAAATCAATGTAAGTTGCTATACCTCTCCTTTGAATAGTTTTCCCTAGAGGTAGAAGCCACCTATGAATTTTTACTGTCTTTCACTGGAGAACAGACGGACTATAAGTAACATAAAGGGCAAGGCTCAGCTCCCTATTCTACCCTTGTTCCCAGCTCTTCCTTCTGTACTTAACCTGTAGTGCTTTCTCATCCCCATGGCAACAGATCCAAGTGCTACACAGATCCCAAACAAAATCTGTCCTGTGTTTCTTTATCCGTCAGCTTTGCCTCCTAGCAACTGGGATTTCTTCCCACATTCTCTGACTGAGTTCCCTGCAGGCTTCTCCCTGGGGGAGGTGCTCCCCTGGAACTGCCCTTGCGTGACCTTAAACAAGAACCTCCCCACCTCACCTGTGAATTAAGGAGATTGAACTAGTGGACCTTGACGGTCTCAGCTCAAGTCTTCTCATTCTAAGTCACTTTTTCTCTAAATACATGCCTCAAATTTTAAGTTAGAGACTTACATATCTTTGGTTCTCTGGTTCCAGTTTATGAAGTTTGTATATGTATAAAAATATATATAAACATATATATACTTTATGTGACAAGTGCTCAAAAATACATACTACTTTTCTCCCATAAAACTTTAGAGTTAGGACCATAGAGGTCACCTTGTCTATGTTCTCATTTTGCCAATAAGGACACAAGCACTAGAGCGGCCCTGCTCAAGTCCACCATATTATGGGTGACAAAAGCAGGGTGGAACCCAGGTATTTTTGACTCACCACTCAGTTCTCTTTCCATCTGAATACTCTGCCTTTAGGTGAATAATTTACAGCATTTCTCAGGACTTCCTGCCCAAATTTTCCAACCCTGTGTCTATTAGGAACTGAACAGCAATGTAACAAGGGAACTCCCTGACCCTATACATACACACCTACCCAACAGCAAAACCTATTGCTGCACAATCAATTGCATACCAGGCCCTAACACATCTGGGTTGGGCCCCTCTGAAGGTCCCCATCTTTCCTCACTCTGTGGGCAGAAACAGGCAGGAAACAGCAGAAAGAGGCTGGCATTTTACAGTCCAGGCAAATTATTTAATCTCTCTGAGCCTCAGAGAGATTCCTCCTCTGTAATCTGAGCATAACAATATCCACTGAGAGTTGTGAGTGTCTACACATAGTAGGTACTCAAAAAATGCCCATTTCTGCCCCCCCCACCTCGACACCATTTCCAGGGCTACACCATCAATGCTCCATTAAGATTCTCTTCACAGACAACAGTTTGGTGATTACTAAAGGGAAACTGGGGTAGGGAGAGATAGATGAGAGTAAAGGGGAATAAATGGTGATGGAAAGTGACTTGACTTGGGGTGGTGAACACACAATACAATATACAGATGATGTGGTATAGAATTGTACACTTGAAAACTATATAATTTTATTAACCAATGTCACCCCAATAAATTCACTAAAATTTTTTTATAAAGATTCCCTTGGTGGATGATCCTCAGCAAATATTTAGTTTCCCTAGCCTCTCAAAATGCTTCTGCCTTCTTTTCTTTCACCAAAAACATACTCGACAAAGGCTTAGGAATGCACAGTCAGCATAGCATTGACCAAATCTAGCAGCATTAGTGAAGTAGAGGCCCTGAATGGACATTCCAAATGCAAGGGGTAAGTTTTGCCAATTTCTTGATATTCGGCATGACGTGTCTCTTGGAGATAGTGGTGCATTGGCTGGGATTGAGCTGCAGTCTTCCAGGATCCCAGAGACTAGAAAAGACCCAGGACCAAGCCCTGACTGGTCCGGTTCAGTTGGCTGGGTGTCGTCCTGCAAAGCTAAAGGTCACAGGTTCAATTCCCAGTCGGGGCACATGCCTGGGTTATGCATGCAAGAGGCAACTAGTGTTTTTCTCACACATTAATGTATCTTTCCTCTCTTTCTCCCTCCCTTCTCCTCTCTCTAAAAATAAATAAATAAAATCTTTAAAAGAAAGAAAGACTCAGGAATGAGGAGGTGAAGGTCAAGGTTGAAGAAGGATCCTGCTCTCCCAGCCTCCCCCTTGCCTCCTTTCCACTGTTTTCCTACAAGTAAACTGTTTTAAGCCCAGTTCTATTTTTTCCCTACTTTTTTTTTAATTTAATTTTAATTTATTTTTTCAAATACATTTGTCTCTGCCTACCCCCCACCACTTTCCCTTGCCCCCCTCAGCTCTTCCCTCCCTCAGCTCTTCCCCTTTGGTTTTGTCCATGAGTCCTTGCTATATGTTCCTTGACTTTCCCCTTCCCTTCCTTTTCCCCGCCCCAGCTCCCTCCTTCCCTCTTGTCTCTGTTGATTTCTTTTCCTTTCAGTGTTGCTGATCTTATTTTCCTTCCATCTTTGTATTGTTGGTTAGGTTCCACTTACAGGTGAGATCATATGGTATTTGTCTTTCGCTACCTGGCTTATTTCGCTTAGCATAATGCTCTCCAGTTCCATCCATGCTATCGCGAAGTTTAGTAGTTCTTTTTTTCTTTCTGCTGCATAGTATTCCATTGTGGATATGTACCATGATGTTTTGATCCAATCATCTACTGATGGGCATTTAGGTTGCTTCCAACACTTGGCTATTGTCAATTGTGCTGCTATGAACATTGGAGTGCATAGGTTCTTTTGTACTGGCGTTTTGGTATTCTTAGGGTATAGTCCCAGCAGGGGAATCACCGGATCAAAAGGCACTTCCATTTTCAGCTTTCTGAGGAAATTCCACACTGCTTTCCATAGTGGCTGCACCAGTCTGCATTCCCACCAACAGTGTCCTAGGGTTCCCTTTTCTCCACAGCCTCGCCAGCACCTGCTGTTTGTTGATCTGTTTATGATGGCCATTCTGACCGGTGTGAGGTGGTACCTCATGGTGGTTTTGATCTGCATTTCTCTGATGGCTAGTGATGCTGAGCATCCTTTCAAATGCCTCTGGGCCCTCTGTATCTCCTCCTTGGAAAAGCGTCTGCCCAGGTCCTTTGCCCATTTTTTGATTGGATCGTTTGTCTTTTTGGAGTGGAGTCGAGTGAGTTCTTTATATATCTTGGAGATCAAACCTCTATCTAATGTATCATTAGCGAATATATTTTCCCATATGGTTGGCTCCCTTTTCATTTTGCTGATGTTTTCTTTAGCCATGCAGAAGCTTCTTATTTTGATGAGGTCCCACTTGTTTATTCTTTCCTTTATGTCCCTTGCTTTAGGAGACATATCAGTGAAAAAATTGCTGCGTGGGATATCTGAGAGTTTTCTGCCAATGTTCTCCTCTAGGACTTTTATGGTGTTGTGACTTATATTTAAGTCTTTTGTCCATCTTGAGTTAAGCCCAGTTCTGACCAAGCTAGTCCTTGCTTAAAACAGCTTAAAAACCCAGGCTCCTCAGCTTAGCCATAGTGTTAAGCCTCCCTTCCTTTCTGGAATTTCCTACCAACCCCCAAGTTCTGCCTATTAAAATATTTTTCAACCCTCAAACTTCAGACTAAATGCCCACCTCTTCCAGGAAAGCCCCCTGCCTGCCCTCCATCAGAGGGAGGCATTGCTGCTTCAGTTTACCCAGTGTTTGATTTCTGATCTTCTGATCCAGTAAACTGTCTTCATGTCTGTCCCCTAAACCAGCAGTTCTCAGGGCACCCAGTTACACTCTGAAGATGATTGAGAACTCCAAAGCACATTTTTACATGGCTTATGTCTATCAATATTTACCATATTAAAATTAGAACCCTTGTCTGTCTTCTCCACACTGGGAGCAGCTCTCCTGCCATAGCCTCTCATCCTCTGAAAATGTACACCTGCGCCAAGTTTGTCTCTGCCCCCACCTTGGTCAGGAGCACCTCTCAGCTGCTGAGCCGGCGCTATCTGCAGTGGTGCTGATACAAACAGAGACACTGACAGATGAGAGCCCCAGCAGCTTGGCAGCCCCACGTCCTCTGACTCACCTATTTCTCGCGGCAGCTTCCAAACCAGCGCCATTTCAAGGGACATTGACACAGCAGCCAAGTTCACTGGGGCTGGGGCTGCCACAGTAGGGGTGGCAGGCTCTGGGGCTGGAATTGGGACTGTGTTTGGGAGCCTCATCATTGGTTGTGCCAGGAACCCTTCTCTGAAGCAATAGCTCTTCTTGGACGCCATTCAGAGCTTTGCCTTTTCAGAGGCCATGGGGCTCTTTTGCCTGATGGCGGCTTTTCTCATCCTCTTCATCATGTGAAGGAGCCGTCACCACCTTCCATAGTTCTTTCTCTCGTGTCTTGTCTGCCCTGTATGTTCCTTTTCTTATACTCCCTAGGCAGCCCGGGGAAAGTGGTTGGCTCAGGGTTTGACAGAGGAAAGACAAATAAATACTGTATTAATAATATGTTTTAAAAAATTAGAACCCTTTACATCCTAAGATAAGTAATATTTATTTTTTAAAAGAACTACATTTTCCAAGTCAAAAAGAAATTAGTAAGAAGGGTAGCATTGTTTTACATTTTTTCAAATGTCATTCATTCCTGGCTTAATAGAAGACAGCTATGTTCTCATCTACTGCACGCAATGTGTCACAATAGCACCCATCATGCAGTCTCTGGAAAATTGCACTGTATACTCCACAACTGAGAGTGAAAATAATGTCAGTGTTATTGTAAAAATACTTTTGACCTCTGAAATCCTCAATGCAGTCCACATCTAAGGGTCCAAGAAAAGGCTTGCCCCTTAGAAAAAAGCAGCCCAAGACCCTACAGGGGGTGAATGGAGTAGAATTTGGGGGCTGGGGAAATCTCCTGATTGGGAGAACTGCCTTAGGATTACATAATCTGTCTGCTTTGTTTCTTTTCTCCCTACTGAGTTCCCCAACTTTGTTCCTCCATTTTACCTTGGCTCTGGTGTAGGGTGAGAAAGGAGCATCAGAAAAAGTGCACTTTGGATTTCCCTAGTCCTACATTAAACTCTTGTCTCTGTATCTTACCAGCTGTGTGAACTTGGGGAAGTTGCTTAATCTCTCAAAGCCTTAGTGCCATCAATTGAAAAATAGTTGTGCTACCTCGTAGAGTGAAAAAGAGAGAAACTGCATGTAAGACCTCTTGCTCAGGGCCTAACACATAACAGACAGTCTACAGATGGCAGCCAGAAACATTACGCTGCCTCCCTACCTCCTGCCCTGCCTGACTCTCAGCCTGAGCATGGCTAACACAAATCGGATTAACCATCCCTTGCCTTTCTCCCTGAGGATATCTGGGCCAGACTGAGAATTTCCAAGAGAACTTCACTGATGGAGAAAGAGGTATGATGTGATCTTGTTTGCAGAGTATATGTACCCTATCCTGCAATAGCAGACAGCACCAACTGCCAGGCTCCACAGCTGATCTGAGCAACCCGACCCAAGGCCTCAGGCACCTTCTCCTTCTCCTCTGTCCTTTCTTTTGTAGGCTGAGGGGTACCAGTAAGAAGCAGCCAATCTCTCAAGTTCCCTCACTCATGGTAGCACAGACATAAGCAGCCAGTATATACCATGTTCTTCCTATAATGGCTTATCTCTTCGTCCTGGTCATACACTTGCTTTAACAGGGGCCTTCCACAGACCCAGGCTTGGCTAATGCCCCAGTCGCCCTAATGGGGAGAAGCAGTGGACAGCTGGTTTAGTCCAGGGCTCTTAAGACTCATAGGCCTTGAAGCTGCCAAACCCTTACACTCAGTTTCTATGACTCCTTCATGCTTGCAAAACAGCCCCCATTGTCCTCCTAGCACCCCTCAAGTGCTACCTCAGTACACACCTGATCATACCCCCACACAGAGAGCACCTAGTGTCCTCCATGGGGTGTTCTCAGCCACTGCCTGTGCCTTTACAGACTGCTGCCCTGTGCCAGGGTATTGACCTTAGCGTCCTCAGCTGAGCTGGATTAAGGGACCATTTCGTGCCTTTGCAAATTCCTTCTGGCTGCTGCTCTTTCCTCCACACAAAGCCAAAGTAGTCAGGAGCCTGAGCCAATCTGCCTATTGTAGCCTGAGAGTTGGTCTCATCTGGTAGCCTATTCCCTCAGTAAGCACAGGCTACCCGTTTGATTGGGACTTTGGGGTCAGGAAGTGCACCTTTGGGGGTCTTGGGCTTTTTCAAGGACTCCAGAAAGCCATGCAGAGCCTTGAGCCATGAAGGACTGCTCAGATACCATCCTGTGTGTGGAGTCAGCAGAACTGAGCAAGGTAAGGATCACAAGGAACCACTCTTCCAAACCCTAGCTGCCTAGGGCTGGCAGTGCCCAGTGGACACACCTGCCAGGCAGTGCTGCCACCTTGCCCTCAGCCCTAACATCTCTCCCTTTCAGACTGAATTCTGCAATCCTGCTTTTGAGCCTGAATCAGGGCCACCTTGCCCTCCACTGGCCTTTCGGGAGGATGCCCGCTCTAGCATCCGAGCTCCCTGGCATGGTAATCAGCTCAGGAGGGTGACCTGAGGGGTAGGACTGAGAGGTCCAGGAGCTGGAGGCAGTGTGAAAGATGCCAGAGCAGGGTGGGCAGGGATGTCTCAAAATCCCACCCGACCTGCCCTCAGGTTGGCGCCCCCGAGGTCTGCAGCCAGACTGTCATTTCTCCTGGCTGTGTGTCCTGCTGTTGGCCAGCTTGCTGCTCCTGCTGCTGGGGCTGCTGACAGCCATCATCCTGGCCCGTAAGTACCTATGACCTGCTGCTTGGGAGAAGAACTTTCAAACGAGACTCCATGAGCTATGTTACCCATCTCCCAGGGATCCAGTTCCTCTGAATCCCACTCCCCCATCTTCCTGCCTCCAGAGTTACAGGCCGCACTCCCATTTGGGGCCTCCTCTCATCCACTGCCTGCCAGAAGCCTCACCACCACTGGCACTCCCCCTACCATGACCACTACCACATCTCAGGCAACTGGGACATCTAAATGGCAGCAGGAAGCAGGCATGAGACCCACACCCCAGTCTGGTGAGTGCGAAGGGCAGACCTTCCTGAAGGGCCCAATACAGCAGGAGGGAAGGGGGTCAGGAAGAGGCACCTTGGACAAAAAGGGTCTCTCTCCTTTTGAGCTCTGAACTCTAACCTCTATCTCTGCAGCCTGTGGGGGCCTCCTTCCTGGACCAAGAGGCTTTTTCAACAGCCCCAGCTACCCAGACTTTTACCCACCCAATGTCCACTGTGTGTGGAACATCCAGGTGTCCACAAACCATGCAATACAGCTCAAGATCGAAGTTCTCAGCATAGAGAGTGTGGCCTCCTGTCTTTTTGATCGTTTGGAAATCTTCCCTGAGCCTGAAGGCCCCCTCCTCAGGTGGGTCCCTCTGCCCCCAGAAGGTCCCACTCCTGTCCTGAATCACTATCTGGAGGGCAGAGGCAAGGGAGCGACAGTGGGAAAGGCTCAGCTGGGACAAAATTGAGAGTCTTGATATCTGGGCCCAGCTCTGCTATATAACCCTGGGAAGGTCACTTCCCTTCTCTAACCACATTTTCCAAAGCTGTAAAACGGAGCCAGTACCTCCTTTCCCATGAATAAATGCTGCAAGGATGGATATACAGGTGATAAGAAAATCAGAGCCCCCTGGGAAATGAAATGAACCTTTTGACTACATTGTCACAAGTTTGGAGCTGGAGGAAAGAGGACTGCAGAGCTCAGGCAGGCTCCATTCTGGCTAGTCCTGTGCTCTGAGCCTCTATCACCCCTGACCTGGTTTCTTGCAGAGTGTGTGGGAGTGTGCCTCCACCTACACTCAACACCAATGCCAGCCACCTCCGAGTGGCCTTCGTCTCTGACAGCAGTGTGCAAGGATTTGGTTTCTATGCCTGGTACCAGGCTGTGGCTCCTGGGCATGGTGAGTGTTTTCCCACAGTGTACCCAGCTATGTGTCAATGGTCCACTTCCCTCCCCTCCAGTCACTCCCAGCACTGGCAAAATGGGTGGAGACTCTGATGTTTCTGAATCCAGATGCTCCCCCTTACACTCAGGGAGCTGTGCCCATAATGAGTTTCCCTGTGACCAGCTCATCTGCCTGCTACCTGACTCAGTGTGTGATGGTTTTGCCAATTGCGTTGATGGCAGTGACGAGAACAACTGCAGTGCCCGGTCCTCAGGTATGGGCCACAGCAGCCTCAGGATGGGGGCTATAGTCAGGCATCTGATCTAGATTCAGGCTGAGCTCCCTAGCTCTGGTCCAGCCCCAAATCTGCCTGGCAACTGTTCTGGCCTAGAATTTGTTTCCCACAGGCATGACCAAACTCTCCTCCACAGTTAATGTTGGCCCTGTTAGGTAAAGGCACAGATGCTGAACAACTCATGAACGTCTCCTCCTCTCTCCAGGATGTGGGGGAAACCTGACTGGGCTCCAGGGAAATTTCTCTACTACTAGCTACCTGCAGGAATACCCTCACCAAAATGTAAGCCAGCACTCCATGAGGAAGGCAATGTGGGCACACCTGAGCACCCAGTTAGTGTGTCTAGGAACAGCATGGTAGACACTGCCTTGTACTTGTGAAGGTCAGAGATTAAGCAAGCAGGAAGAGAGCATTATTAAGTGCCTACCCTATACCCAGATGTTCACATGCTCAGTAAACCTATCTTTGAGACCAGACAAGTTAAAAGGCCCTTCCTATCTGAAGAAGCACCTATGGTGAGAACTAGGTAGCACTGCCTAGCCTGCAGCAGGGAGGAAGGCCTTCTGGCACTCAGCCTGGATGCTCAGATTGGGACAGAAGGAACCTGTGAAGTATGCCATCTGTGCCCTCCCCCAGCTTTGCACCTGGCATATCTCAGTTCCTGCTGGACATGGCATAGAACTACAGTTCCACAACTTCAGCCTGGAAACTCAAGGAGAGTGCAAGTTTGACTATGTGGAGGTGTATGAGACCAGCAACTCAGGGGCCCTTGGCCTCTTGGGCAGGTACGAGCAATGCCAGGGGAGGTGCCCAGGATCAAGTCCATCCTCCACAGTCAGACAGTCACAGCTTCCTACAAATTAGCCAACTTCTTCCCTAGCTTCCATTTCTTTGGCTACTCCAAGCCAGAAGTCTCTTCACTGTCACCGTAAAAAAGGCTTATCCTTTCTCACCTCAGAGCCTTTGTTCCTTATATCACCCTCCTCCAGGGAACCCTTTCCCAGTCCTATCCCTCTCCCAGTTCTCCCACCTGCAGGTCCAATTCCACTCCCCTCAGGAACACTTGCTGATTTTTCGCATCTCAAAGGGGCTCGAGTTCAAGCAGTTTGTTTAATATTGTACGTTGTCTACTGAATACATGTGTCTTCCTCACTAGACTCTGAGTTCCATGAATCAGATATGCCTCCCATCCCTTCTGGCATCATCCAAAGTACCCAGCTCTGGGCAAGGCCTGTGTGCAGCCTCAGTGCACCCCAGCCAGCCAGGAACAGCATGCCCAGGACTGCTCTCTGCTTTGGGCAGGTTCTGTGGAGCAGAGCTGCCCCCTCGCCTCATCTCCTCGCATCACCAACTGGCTGTACTCTTTAGGACAGGTCATGGCATCAGCAACATGGGCTTCTCAGCCATCTACCGGGCTCTCAATGCCACAGAGAGTAGGTGCCCTTGGTCAAGAAGGTGTGCGCAGTAGAGGTACCTTCAGGAGAATGGGGGAAGGACTCTAGACCCTGGTCAGAGCACTGTGAAGGCAGTGAGGGACAGGCAGACATATCTGAGAGCACTGCCATTCCTCCTGTGTCTTACAGACCCCTGTGGACCCAGAGAATCGTCTTGCCAAGATGGAGGATGTAAGAGCTTGCAGTGGATGTGTGACACATGGAGAGACTGCACAGACAGCAGTGATGACAAGTGCAGCAGCCCCTTGTTTCCACCCCCAGGTGAGAAGCCTTCATCATGGCCCCATGGACAAGGATTGCAGGCCTGAGCAGGCTGGGCACCCATTCATAACACTCTTTATAGCGGCCATCCCTATCCTTCCTGATGGGGGGATTCACTATCCTGGCTCTTTACAGAGTCCTGTGTCACCCCCAAGTTAAATGAGAATTAATGCTTGGGACCTCAAGAACCAGTCCAGCCTTGTCACAGAAAGAGAGAGAAGGCCCTTCTCTCCATAGCCCACCTTAAAGAAGGTGAAATCAGGGAAGTTCCTTCTAGATGCTGAATGGTCTCTGCTAATGCTGGTATCCCATGCTTTCTGAGATCAAATAGAGGTCTGCATGATGCCCAGGGCTGGCCAATGATGCTTGGAGCAGGCTCTAGCAGGCCTGTCCAGCCTGTGGCATGCAGGCCACATGTAGCTCAGGATGACTATGAATGCAGCCCAACATAAAATCGCAAATTTACTTAAAACATTATGAGATTTTTTTTTTGTGATTACATGTCGCAATGTATTTAATGTGTGGCCCAAGACAACTCTTCTTCTTCCAGTGTAGCACAGAGATGCCAAAAGGTTGGACACCCCTGCTAGAGGATAACAGAATCCTCAATATGTGTAAAGCCATCTCTCCATTTTATTTCCTTTGATTCTCACAACTCCCTTCTTGCTCCCGGTTACACAGCCAGGTAGTCCCCACAGTGACCCTCCCCTCCTACCCCTGCAGAGATGGCCTGTGAGCCCATCCAAGTGGAGATGTGCATGGGGCTAAGCTACAACACCACAGCCTTCCCTAACATCTGGGTTGGCATGGCCACCCAGGAAGAGGTGATGGAGGTCCTCAGAGGTTACAAGGTGCTCTGGGAAGAGATAAGAAGGGAACCCCCTAGGAAGGGGAGGGAGCCTGGAGGGCAGGTGCTTGAGGGCTGATCTCCTTCCACAGAGCCTGACAAGTCTACCCTGCTACCAGAATTTCTGGAGACTCCTCTGCAGGCTGCTGGTGCCCCACTGCACCCCACTGGGCAGTATTCTTCCTCCCTGCCGTTCTGTCTGCCAGGAGGCAGAGCGCCAGTGCCAGTCTGGTGTGGCACTGCTGGGCACCCCCTGGCCCTTCAACTGCAACAGGCTGCCTGAGGCAGCTGGCCTGGAGGCTTGTGCCCAGCCCTGATGCTGAAATGGACTCCTCTCCTTTGCCTGCCCTTCCTCCCTGGCCTATCAGGGAGGGCAGGCAGGGGAACAAAGGAAGGGGGACCAGCATGGAACTTTGCCCATCCTCTCTGAGGCCTCCCAGGAAGGGGAGAAGTCCTCAGCCAGGCTAATGAGACTCTTCTACCCTCCCAGCTCCTTCCTTGTCCCTTTACTAGCCCCAGCTGCCAAAGGCAGCAGATTTCACTCCAGGCCGTGCCATTGACAACCTAGACTGCATCCCACCGAAGTCCCTATTTCTGCCCTCTCCCTCTCCATCTATTTTTCCAGGCTTCTTTTTCATTTATTCAATGAGAGCCTAGTAATGTGGCAGGCCCTGTTCTAAGTCCTGGGTATCCAGCTTTCTATCTGCCTCTAGAACTCTCCACCCTCAGTTCTCAGCTTATATTTCTCCTGGACTTGGGCCTTGTCCTTAGTCTGTCACTCACTCTCTCTCTTTCCAGCTCCTTGGAGCAGTAGGTGTCCTGAGTGTCTGTCTCACGGTTCTGCCTCTGTCTGTCCGGCTCGAGTCTCTCTCCCCCTCCTTTCTCCCCGCAAAGTTTGGCTGGACGCCTGGCACACCACGAGTTATTTCTTTGCTATTTCCCGGCGGGAGCTCTTGGTTTCCTCTTGGAGTCTGGGAGGAGCAGGGCAGAGCAGGCAGAGAGCGAACTACGCAGGGCCAGGCGGACCGTGCGGGCTCGGGGCGCCTGGCTGCGGAGAAGCGCAGAGGCAGGAGCAGAGGTCAGCTGGAGCGTCCGAAGAAGCAAGCGCCTGGAAGGAGGCCATAGAGAAAGGGAGCCGTGCCGGGAGCCAGGAAGTGGGTGAGCTTGGTGGAAGGGAATGAGGATGGGGGAGGGGACTGTGGGAAAGACTAGAGGCGGGCAGGGGTGGAGGTAGAGGGAGGGGCCTGGCCTCTCCCTTCTCAGCTGTGTTCTCAGGGTTCCCGGGCCTAGGGGCACCCCGTTTCTTTCTGTCCCCGCGGCTGCTCAGCTACAGGGATATGGCAGTGGGGTGGGGACCTACTCGGCTGTCCTGGGGTGGAGGGCAAGGAAGGCCCCAGAATTCTGGGCCCGACTCCTGTCCTGCCCAGCCCACAGACTACGAGAAGACCCCGGCATTCGGGCTCCCTTTGCCAGCGCCATGAGGCCGCTCCTCGCCCTGCTGCTCCTGGACCTGGCGGCCGGCTCCCCCCCACTGGACGACAACAAGATTCCCAGCCTGTGCCCGGGGCACCCTGGCCTTCCAGGCACGCCCGGCCACCACGGCAATCAGGGCATGCCTGGCCGCGACGGCCGAGACGGCCGAGACGGCGCGCCCGGGGCTCCCGGAGAGAAAGGCGAGAGCGGGAGGCCGGGTAAGAGGGCCACAGGGCCTTCAGAGCTGGCCTGCCCCTGCTCCAGCTCTGCAGAGCTCGGAATTCCCGCCAGGGGGCGCCGCTCCGATCCTGCCCTTTCTCGCTCTGCCTTGGGAGGGAATAGGAGAGAGCAACTCAGCCCGCGGGGTCAGAACCCCTGAGACCCTCTTTGACCAGCCGGTCAGATCTGCCCCAGCCCTGCAGGACACGGGTGGAGCGGGGGAGAGGGGAGAGGGAGGCTGGTACACCGGGCGGGACTAGCGGGGAGGCGGTGGGCTGGAGAGGTGAGAGAGGACAAGGAGGTTCCCAGAATCGCCCTCTGCGCACACCGCTGTGGGCGGACCAGCCGCTGCCCTCACCCGAACTCCTTCACTTAACCCCCACAGGAATGCCGGGGCCCCGTGGGGAACCCGGTCCGCGAGGAGAAGCGGGCCCCATGGGAGCAACCGGGCCTGCGGGGGAGTGCTCGGTGCCCCCGCGCTCCGCCTTCAGTGCCAAGCGCTCCGAGAGCCGGGTGCCTCCGCCGTCAGACGCGCCCCTACCCTTCGACCGGGTGCTGGTGAACGAACAGGGCCATTACGACGCAGCCACCGGCAAGTTCACCTGCCAGGTACCTGGGGTCTACTACTTCGCGGTCCACGCCACCGTCTACCGGACTAGCCTGCAGTTCGATCTGGTCAAGAATGGCGAGTCCATCGCCTCTTTCTTCCAGTTTTTTGGGGGGTGGCCCAAGCCAGCCTCGCTCTCCGGAGGCGCCATGGTGAGGCTAGAGCCCGAGGACCAGGTGTGGGTGCAGGTGGGTGTGGGTGATTACATTGGCATCTATGCCAGCATCAAGACGGACAGCACCTTTTCTGGATTTCTGGTATATTCTGACTGGCACAACTCCCCTGTTTTCGCTTGATGCCCACCGGAAAGTGAGCCTACGCTTTCTCACGGCGGGGCGGGGCGGGGGCGGGGGCGGGGGCGGGCCACGGTGTTAGCCACATCATCCGGGAAGGCTGGCCCCCTGGAATGTTGTGAATGACTAGGAGGGGGAATGGAGGCCGCTCTGTCCCGCTGCTGGCAGGGAATGCGGACAGAGGCTGTCTGAGATCAGGCCCTGCAGCACAGGATACTGGGTGGATTTCTGCCCAAGACCAAAGGAGTGCACTGTGATGGCAGGTGTGGGTCCTCTGGCCCAGGACCCCAAGGTGGGGTCCTCTCTTCCTGGTCGTCTGCTTCGCTGAGTCCTCCCTTTTTCCTTCTACTCCTGGGCCGTTTTCTTAGAGACCATTCAATAAATCTTTTCAAAACCTCCGATTGGCTCAGCCGTCTTCTTTAGCCGGGGTGGGGGGGGCGGGGGGGTGGGAATGCCCTTATTGTGAGGATGGGGGAAGGTGCGGGGTGGGGGGGGGGACGGGGGGAGGAGGAGAAGGGAGGGCTCTTGGGCTGGATGAGCTAAGGGGAAGGAAACACAGGAGTCAGGCCCAAGTGAATGAGCGGCCACTCAACAGAGTTGCCCATGTGTAGGATGCGAACAGGAGTGCCTAGCTGAGGACAGTACCCTCCTGGTGTGGGGCTCTGGACATCTTTTTCTAACTCAGAGATGTCATATGAACTGGGTAGGAGCTACTTTTAGCACACACACCATGATATTATTAACAAAAAAGGAGCCATGGATTTGCACTTATGACTTTGCTGCCTGCTTGGTCGCTGGAAGACTGGCTGGAAGGCTGTTTCTCTGAGATCCCCCACTGGCGGGAGAATCGAGTGCCACTGGAAATCTAGAGATAAGTAGTTTCTGAGATGACCACAAGAGGGCGCGCCAGCTCTAGAATCCAGCAACGACTACTTGACTACTAAATAATGTTAGGAGGCAAAGCTCTCTCCTTGCTCAGCTACCCCTCCAGGGTTGGGGGAAGGCAAGAAAAAGCCCTCCTTCAGGCCTCCCAACTGCAAAATGGAGTTCTGAATGAACTCTACTCCCACTCAGGCTGTGCCACCAAGTCTGAGTCCTTCGAGGCTCCCCTCCTCTGACCTTCAGAAGCCAGCCCTGGCTCCACACCCCAACCCAATAACTAACAAACCAGGGCTTACCAGGTCCACATCAGCTCACCTTCTCAACGCAAGAGAAAGTGGAGATCTCTTAGTTTCTGTCTGACCTACCCCTTTTCCCTTTCCCCACTTCCAGAAGGCTGTTCCTGGCATTATACCCCTAGATTTAACATACAATTATGGGGGAATGTCCCCCTCCCTCTTGCTGGCCTTGCAAGGGCAGATATGACCAATGGGGACTGGGCCACGTGAGCTGGAGACAAGCATCAGGAGTACTGAGCTTCAACTCCCTGCTCTGCACCAGGAGGTTCTACAGCCATACTCTAGCCCATCACAGCACCATTCTATGCCAAGGCACACAGACAAGCACTAGCTCCCACAGGGATCAGAGAGTAGACTAGACACCAGGTGAAAGGAACCCCAACCCAATTTCCTTCCTGCGAATAGTGGCACCAGAGGAAAACCTGGGATGAGAAAGTTCACATTTCTGTCTACTAGGACTTATGGCAAAAATAGAAAAGAGAGGGCTTTCCAAAAGCCATGTGTACAAAGGCACAAATTGGAGGTGATGAAAGCTAATCCAGCCACATGTGGCACGGGTTCTCCCCAAGGCACAGTGATCCCATCCTGTCTTCTCTCTTCCCCCATCAAGTTCCCCACAGACCAAACCTGTGACTCCAGCAGGACTAAAGGACACTGCTATAGCGTCACTGACTCTGACCACCTGTTCGCCCTTGCAAGAATGCACACACAGGCTGTCAGTTGTCAAAAAACACTTTATTCACTAGAAACTGGGCCAAAAGACCCCTCAGGGAACTGCATGCCCCTAGGCCTGGCCGCTACTGTGTTTGGACCCTACTGGAATGTGCAGTCTACCCTCCCCAATGCCAGGGAGAGACAAACAGAAGAGGAATGCCATTTTTCTGTGATGTGGGGAGTGAAAGGAATATGAATAGAAATAGAAATAGAAATAGAAATAAATAGAAATCTGGTTCTCTCTCCTGAGGCTTCCAATGAAGCTGGGGTGTGAGGATTCTTGGTCCCAAAGCCAGATGCACATGCATGCCTCTGCCCCCAAGGATAAACTCCTGACCCCAGCTGTTGGATAATGTTGGGAGGGTGCCTCATAAGATCATGACAGGCAAAAGTGGTAGCTCTAAGGGCACCTGAGAGACGCTACCCCCAAAACCTACCAGGCACAAGAACTCTGCCTGAAAGCAAAAGTTCAACATCATTCCAAGGCCCTTGAGTTGCAAAAACACCCAAATGACACCGATGTGTTGTGGCTGCAAAAGCTGGGGAGACAGTGGAGAGGGGGCAGGGAAAGGACCTGCAAATCCCCAACAGAAAAACCAGAAGCAGAGAGGGGGAGCCCTAGAGGCTGGCATTTGAGTAGGTCCTGGCAAACTGGAGGGGTGTCCACTGCTAACAGTCTCAGGGTCTGGCATAGTGACATACCACCCTCAGCATCACAGAGACCCACAGAGTCATGAAAAGCTGTTACCCTGCCCCCACCCAGGTCACAGTCTTCCAAGATATCCCATCTCAATGTCCTGGATGTATGGCTTGGAGGCTTGGCATGACAGCCATGAGGGCAGAAGGAAATTCAAGCCAGGACCCAGAGATCAGGTGTTAACACTGTCCTAACACAGGGCCTGTGTAAAGCGTGGAGCTGGAGGAGTGGCCAAGGAGGGTGGAGTTTTCAGAGGTAGACATTGAGGGTCTGCAGAATGCCCTGTCGGCAGAGCGGGCAGTTGCGGTGGTAGACTGGGTGGCGCATCAAAATTTCAGTGCAGGCCTGGCAGAGACACAGGTGCCGACAGGGCAGAAGCAGCACTGTCTTGCTCTGGTCCTGGCAGATGACACACTTCTTCCGCTCCTCTTGCTCCTTCAGCAACTTCCATGGGTCTTGCCCAGCTGTAGGCTCCTCCTCATTGAGCCTCTCCCGGCCCCAGGCAGCTGTCACTCTGGCCATTTCGACTTCTTCCTCTTCTGCCTCTGATCTGGTCCCTGCTTCAGGAAGAGTGTTCTGTTGCCAGGTCCTGCCTGAGGGCATCCTCCTAGGGCCACCCTGGGGAGCCCCTGGTGCCCCTCCCCAGTTAGGCCAGCTTGCCAGCTGCAGGCTGCGGCTCCAGACTTGGCGCCAAGCATCCAAGCCCAGTGCTAGGTGAGACAGCCTCACAACATCCTCTTGAAGCCGGCGGTAGGATGGCCAGGCGTGAAGCTGACTGAGTGCCCAGGTGGCCAGCCTCATGGTGAGGTCCGGGTGCAACACAGTCGCTATTACTGCCAACACGCAAGCCAGCAGCACCAGGCTGGTAAGATTGACAAGCACAAAGCTGGCCAAGAGGTGCGCAGCTGAGGCCAGGAGCTCCAGTGCTAGTTGGCAGGGGGTCCAGAGAAGGATGGTCATGGCTACAGCACTGCTGGAAATGTGAGCTACAAAGGTAGCCATAATGTCCGTCATTCTCCACAGTGGCCCCATCACTGCATCCCATAGGGCCAGCAATAAGGAGAAGAGATTCTGAGTGCCAATGAGGCAAATGTTGACCAGGCTGTTGATCACGTAGGCCACCAGGCTCATGGCAATGGCACAGATGTCACAGGTCTGGCGCAGCAAAGCATGACCATTGGAGACAATATTGAGGACACTTCGATGCAGCATATCCCGGCTCCTCAATGCCCCATGAGAGGCTAGGTGTCCCAGGAGTTTTAGACTCTCCAGACCAGAGCAGCAGCTGTACAGCAGGGTACACAAGGTTTGAAAGCCCCCAGAAGTGAACCGGACCACAGCTTCGATCAAGGCCACCAGTGAAAACAGTACTCCGCGGCCCAGGTGCAGAAGACTAGTCAGTACAGTGTGTGGCAGGTTGTAGATGAAGGCTAGAAGCCAGGCCAGGGAAGCCAGGAGGGAGGACACCAGCAGGAAGTTGAGGTCCAACACCAAGGTCAGCACGTCCAGCACCAGGCCCACACCATTCACCACCAGGTACACAGCCTCCATGATAGGGCTACGGAAGTTAGTCAAAAGGAAGTCTGGCTCTTGGTTGAGAGAGGTGGCAAGGTTGCCAAAAAAATTGGGGAGGGAGGTGGTGGGAAGTCAGGGATTAATTTGAAAGGGAAATAGTAAGTCTCCGACTAAGGGAGAGAGAATCAAGAATCTGAGAAGTGGGTTAGAGGTGAGCGGGGCCTCAGTGGAGAGAACGGGGACCAGGTGCCGGTCCAGGAGTCCCGGTTTTGAAGGCTGGCTGTCTAGGAAGGAAGAAGCCAAACATTTTTAAAGTGAAGGTGAGCCTGGAGTGGAGGAAGGTCCTCAGCTTCGGAGAGCTGGTGGTGGCGTACCAGGGCCAGGCAATCAGTCGGAACGAGAGGAGACCGGGAACGGTTGGGATTGGGCCGGGGCCGGGTGGGGCAGTGCAGGCTGGACGCGGGCTCGCGGTCCAGCTACGCAGGTGCCCCTGTCCCCGCCCGGCCCCCGTCCTCTGGGCGCGCGGCGCTTTGCACGCAATTAGGAAGTGGGGAAGGGAGTCAACCTCAGCAAACCCCAGGAGCGGCCTCCACTCCGCTGCACGCCGCCATCTTGTATGCGAAGAGGTGGGCCAGAGCCGTGACCAGAGGGAGGGACGACGGAGTCCGATCAATCAGCTAGGGCCACCGGCAGGGAATATCGAGCACTCGTTGGCCCGTTTGAAAGGCGCTCAAAGAAGGGGCGGGGACAGATTGAAATCTCCGCCCTCCAGAGGCGGTGATTGGCCAGTTGAGACCCCATCCCCAATACATTGTGAAGCCTGGTGCTTTCTGCAAACACCAAGGATACTCCGAATTTTTATCCGTCCGCTGGTCACACCATTGCTTCAGTTTCCTACTTGTAATGAACTCTTCATCTCCACGCTGGCCTGGACTCCAGACAGTGTCTGTCCCCCTTCACCAGTCTCTGAACACTGCCTAAATCCTTTCTTCCCTAAAGCGCCACTGATAAAAAGCTGAGATATTGACAGGAGAAAAATTCTGAGATGTTTTAAGTTAACAGCTGCTGAAAAGTGAAGGAGACAGGAATAATTAACCAGTTAATAGCTGTGGGCTAATTAACAAAAGAGTGTACGTTGGAGCCTTGAATCAACCATCTACCAGCGACCACTAGATGTTGCCTGTAACCAATCAAAAGTAGTAAATATTTGTGGTCTTGAGGTGGGAAGGGATTATGTTTGCTTTTTACTGGAATTGTTTGGTTTTTGGGGTGTTGAATTGTCTGAGTTCTTTATAAATTTTGTATATTAACCCCTTATCAAATGTATCATTGGCGAATATCTTCTCCCATTCAGTAGGTAATCTTTCCGTTTTGTTGATGGTTTATTTTGCTGTGCAAAAACTTTTTAGTTTGATGTAGTCCCATTTGTTTAGGTTTTCTTTTGTTTCCCTTGTTTGAGGAGATATGTCAGAAAAAATTTTGCTAAGATAAATGTCAGAGAATTTATTGCCTATGTTTTCTTCTAGTTTTATGGTTGCAAGTCATATATTTAAGTTTTTAATCTATTTGGAGCTTATTCTTGTATATAGTGTAGACGGTGGTCCAGTTTCATTTTTTACATGTATCTGTCCAATTTTCCCAAAACCATTTATTGAAAAGACTATTTTTACCCCTCCTTTGTCATAGATTAATTGACCATATAGGCATAGGTTTATTTCTGGGTTCTGTATTCGCTGATTTATTTTATTTTATTTTTAAATCATGTTTATTCAATTACAGTTGTCTTAATTTTCCCCCCTTTGACTTCCTCCACCTATCCCACCCCACTCCCCTCTTCCACAGTCAATTCCCACTTTGTTGTCAATGTCCATGGGTCATTCATACATGTTCTTTGTGTACTCCCTTCTCCTTCTTTCCACCATTGTCCTTCTTCCCAAACCCCTCTGGTCACTTTCAGTCGGCTCCATGTTTCCTTGCCTGTGGTTTATTTTGTTCCTTAGTTTATTTTGTTGAATAGATTCCACTCATAGGTGAGATCATATGGTATTTATTTTTCACCAACTGGCTTATTTCACTAAGCATAATATTCTCCAGTTCCATCCATGTTGTCACAAAAGGTAGGAGTTCTTTCTTTCCTTTTTTTAAAAAATGCAGATTGATTATATTTATTTATTTTTTTAAATGTCATGATCCATTATAAAATATTAAAAAATTTAAATATATTGTCAAATTTCAGCAATTAAAACAACCTGACTCAGCACAGAAATAATCCAGTAGATCAATGAAATAAAACGAGCATTGTAGAAACAAATGTATATATCTTTATAACAATGTAATATATGCTTAAGTTGATATTTCAAATCAGTGGGGAAAATAAGGCTTAGTCAACAAATAAAGTGCATGGACCACTGTTACTTGAAATAAAACAAATATAGAGCCCTATTTCACACATTATACAAAAAATATTCAGGTGAGTTAAAAATCAATATGTAAAATCTAAAGACTTTTTGGAGAAAGTTCAAACTAATATTTTCCTTACCCTGAAATAAAATATTCAAACCCAGAAGCTATAAAGCAAAATATTGACAATATGACTATATTAAACATTTAATACTATATAGTAATATGCATATTAAAAAAGTTAAAGGACAAGTAATAGAATAGGAAAGTATTTTCAACACATATAAAAAAGGGTTAATAGCTGTTTCTTCTTTTTAGGGAAAAAATTCTACAAACCTTTAATCAAAAAATGGATAAAGAATACCGAAGTCATTTAAGCTTTATTTAAAAATAGAAATAGGCAAGAAATATACAAAAACAGGCTTAGTTTCAAAAAATAATAAAGGAACAATTAAAAGAACACATCATTGTCATAATCAGATTAATAAGTATTAAAAATGTTGGTAATATCAAGTATTGGTGACTTTGAAAGGAACTGGGTATTCATAGACTCTTTTTCTTCACCTTCTTAAAGCAGTCCCTTTAGCATATTTTGCAATGCTGGTTTGGTGGTGGTGGATTCTCTTGGCCACCTTTTGTCTGGGAAAATCCTTATTTCACCTTCCAGTTTAATGGAGAACCTTGCTGGGTAGAGCAGTCTTCGTTGCAGGCCTTTGCTTTTCATGACTTGGAATATTCCTTGCCATTCCCTTCTGGCCTGTAGTGTTTCTGTTGTGAAGTCAGCTACTAGCCGTATCAGGGCTCCCTTGTATGGTACTACCTGTTTTCTCCCTTGCTGCCTTTAGGATTCTCTGTTTGTCTTTGATATTTGCCATTTTAATGATGATGTGTCTTGGAGTGGGCCTCATTGGGCTCCTCTTTAATGGTGCCCTTTTGTGCTTCCTAGACTTCTGTGACTTTTTCTCTCCTCCAATTAGGGAAGTTTTCCATCATGACTTTTTCAAACAGGTTCTCTATCCCTTCCTCCTCCTCTGCAATGGATATTATTATGTTTCAGGTTGTCCTGCATTTCCCTCGATGCCTCTTCATTTCTTTTTGAGTCTTTTTCCATTTTCTTATTCTTTCTGGGAGCTTTTTTCTACCTTGTCCCTCAGCTCGCTGATCCAATCCTCTGCTTTTTCAAGCCTGCTTTTGATTCCTTCTACTGTGTTCTTCAATTCAGAAATTGTATTCTTCATTTTGTCTTGTGTCTTATTGATAGCTTCTATGTCCTTTTTCATGATGATATAACTTGCAGTAAGTTCCTCATAGTTTCCCTGTAGTTTTTGGTAATTCTCTCTGAGTTCACTGAGCTCGTTGAGCTTCCTTAGAACCGTTGTTTGGAACTCAGTATCTGATACTTTACTTGCCTTTATTTCATTTAGTTCTCTTTGTGGGGATTCCTCCTTTCCCTTTGACTGGGAGGGCGCATTTCTTTGCCTTCCCATTATTTGTGAGACTCTTCTTTTTTGCTTCTGCTTCTTAAATTGATCTGTCTCGATTTCCTGACTTTGTAGTGTGAACCTCTATGGTAGGAGATTGCTGTATTCTTTCTGGATCTGCTTCTGATAATGTCAGAAGTTGACCCTGTCTGATCTTAGGCAGTCTTTTCAAGACTTCCAGGAATCTACTGCCTGTAGATGTCTCCTTCAGCTGGTAATCTAGTCATTCTGCACTCAGCGGGCTGGCTTAGACTGCACAGGGTGGGGCGGGGTCCCTCCTGGGGGCAGGGTTATTGGGTCCTCTCACACTGTTGCTGTTCAAGGAAGTGGTCTGCCTGAGCAAGATGGCTGCTGCCGTATGGGGAATGAGTCAGCACCCGGATCCCGCCGGCCACTCTCTCAGTTCTTCCCCCAAAGCCTCCCTTCCCAGTCTTTCCTCTGGTGTCTCCAGCCCACTCTGACCTCCCCTCTGCTGGAGACCTGGGCAAGTGGCCTCAAATAAAAATGTATGCACTGGCCCTTTAAATGGCTCTTTGCATCTTCAGCCGCCTGTCTCTGGCAGAAAGCAACCCTGCCACTTTTCGTAGCTGGCTGTCATCTGTGTACTTTTGGGCTCTGGTGCTGTAGGCTGGAGATCCCCGCTTTTGGTTTAGACCCCGCTCTTCTCAGGGGGATCCAACTGGCAGTTTCAATATCCTTCTGGTGCTGCTGCCCATGGGCGCCCCACTTGCCTTCTCGAGTCTCTACTGCACTCCTTACCAGTTAGATTGTGCTGTAGCTGATTCTTCTGTCTGCCCGAGGTTATAAGGCTCTCCTCTCGCTATTGTTCAGTTGTTTGTTCCATGTGCTTTCTCCCTAATTTAGTTGTAGTTCTGGGTTGGTCCTGGGAGGAGGTCAGTGTGACTTCCACTCACTCCTCTGCCATCTTGATATTCCAAGGCAACTTTACTTAAGCAAAATTCTTCTATTAAGGAGAGACATAATATCTCTTTTTTAAAAAAGAGCTAAGTAGGTCTACAATCATTCCAAAGCCATCCCTTGGATAAGAAATACAACAACAATGAACAAAACTACTTAGTTTCTACAAATACACCATTTTCTTTTTGGTAAAAAAGAGGGTGGGGTTGAAATTATATATCAAAATCAGCAGAATGTTTATGTTTCACAATTTTGTTACTGGATCCCCAAATCCCTTGAACTCATTTGGGAAGTGTTCATATTACAGTAAACAGCAGCAAAATATCAAAACTCCATTTGTAAAAAGCAGCTTTTCCTGCTAGTGCCTTTAGAATGCTAGTTGTAAAATAGCAACAATAACAACCAAATCTTAATTTGTGCCATCAGTTGGAAATCTAAGGAGGAAGCAAATTGTTTTCTTATTTTTATTTTTTATTTGTTCAACATTTATACCTTTATTGTTTTAATTTTTTCTTTTTTCTCCACTTTATTACCCTCCACCCTCCACTGCCCCACCTCCCAGCACCCCCAACCCCCTTAGTTCATGTCCATGGATCGTACATATAAGTTCTCTGGCTTCTCCATTTCTTATACTAGTCTTAACCTCCCCCTGTCTATTTTGTACTTACTATTTATGCTGCTTATTCCCTGTTCCTTTTCCCCCATTCTTCCCCACCCCTCCCCTCTGATCTTCATTTCTATGATTCTGTTCCTCTTCTAGTTGTTTACTTAGTTTGTTTTTGTTTTTAGCTTCACTTATTT